GGCCTGCCAGAACCAGCTGAAAGCGCAGGATGATGCTGAGCCACCACTGTGATGCCAGCATGAAGAAGGCCAATGCAATCGTAGGAGGCATCAGCTACGGTATGTCCAAGAGGGGTAGGGAAGCTTCAGTGCCACAGTACAAGGGGCTGGGATGCTATACGCCATGCTGGTCCCGCGTGTTCAAGACTGGTGAGTTGAAACGAGGCACAGAAAAGGGTGGGGAGTGGCTTGCCTGTGCAAGAGGAGGTGAGACCAGAGTGTCTTGTTTAGCCTAGAGACAGGTGGAGTGGGGAAATGATTGCTGTCTCTAGACACATGGCGGGGTGGGGGGTGCAGGCCTGTTTCATCCAGAGTACAAAACCAGAGGAGAGTAAAATGGCCAGATTCAAGCTGGAGATGGCCAAGGTCCCCAACCAGCTGAGCAGCCAGGTTCTGGCAGAGGGGAACCCCTCCCCGCGTGCAAGCTGGAGCAGGTCAGTGGGTCCAAGACTGGGGTCTGTGTAAGGGCTGCCCATGACAGCTCGGATCGGGGTTTCCCAACAGCCCTTCTGAACTGCTACATCTGAATCCTACCTGCTTCCCCCAGCCCCCTCTGGAGTCCCTCCTCGCCTTGCTGCTTGTGCTCTGCAAACACCTGCATCCAGCCCCTGCCCTCAGGATGTCCTGTAGGCTAGGGAAAGGTCCATAGGGACCCTTCTACACTGGACAATTTGGGATGGACTAAGGTGGTCAACAGGGCACTGGGCTCAGGGCCATTATGCCAGGTCTCTGCAGCAGACTTCCTCACATACCTGGGGCCGAGAAAGCGGTTGGGTTTATTGCTCACTAACGCAATTTCACCATTAGCCAGTGACCTCCACAGCTGTTTTCCTGGTGGGGTTGGGCCTTGGGACTCTGTGGATGCTCTGGGGCTCAAGCACCCACTGAAAAAAGTAGCAGGTGCTCAGCATCCACGAGCCACAGCTGAGGTGTTAAAAAAATAAATAAATAAACCACGCTTTACTAGAAGCAGCAGCACGTGACTTCAACCGGCTCTGCAGCGCCTGTAAAGAAGGGCTCTTCAGCAAGGCTTTTTAATGCTTGTAGGTAAAGTTGATTAAATCACCTGTTAGATAAAGGTGCCAAAAAAGCCCCACTAAAGCGCCCAATCTTTACAGACACTGCAGAGCTGGGTTGAAGTAACCTGTTGCCTCTTCTGGGCAAGCATGGGGCTCAGCATGGGAATGCGCTGAGTTAAAACTAAAATGCTGGGAGGAGAGGGGAGGGGTTATGTCTGCAAGCACCCACTGGCAAAAACCAAAGTCGGTGTCTATGCTTGGGCCCATGTCCAATCCCTGGCAGGGTTGGCATTTCTTCCAGACAACTTTAAGCCTTGTCTTACTCCACTGAAATAAGAGGTTGTCCACTGACTTGCTGGAGCCAGGGTTGCACCCAGGAGGTTTACAGTTCAGAGAGGACCTCGGCCATCAGCATCTTGCCTATTGGGAGAAAGCTCTTGACTCTTGAGTCTGTGTTCTTAGAGATGGCTAAGGAGCTTGGCCTTGTGCTAACAAGTTATTTTAAAGTCTCTCCTTTAAGCACAGGACTCCCAGTCTCTTTGAAAATAGATTTACTCCAAAATATCCTCTTAATGGCATCAAAAATGCATCTAAGGGTTTGAGCAGGTGGGACAACATCAATGCCAGCAATGATACCCTGGTTATGTGAGCTAAAATAATGGAAAGCAGACCTCATGCTTCAAGGTGTTGTGACTGGGGGACAGAAAGAAAGTGGTCTTTCTCCTTCCTCTGAACACTGCTGGAGGCAGGACTACGGGCTAGATGAACACGTGTTCAAGGGCTGTGTTGTAAGCCCAAAACCACCATTGGCTCTAGTGCCAATGACGTGGTTACCCTCTGCCCACTCTGCAGTAAATCCCCTGGTGCTGTGACAGCTGTAGTTGTCTCACTCCCAGCCAAGGCTTCCCTGAGCTCCAGACCCAACGTGCACAATGCACATGGCCCTGCTACTCCCACCAACAGCACAAGGAGACTTTTGTCCTGGTTTTTTTCACCCATGACCAGCAGAACAGAGGGAGGAGGTGACCTGTGGCTGAGTCACAGCAAGATGCTCAGACAAGGTGCTCCCCTTGCTGTCATTTGTGCTCTGGGCATGGTTCACTAGGGCACTGAGAAGGTCTCTTGGGGATCCATCTGTGCTCCCTCCACACTGCAGGTCACACAGCTTCATCTAAAAAGGCAGCTGAGTTGTGCTGTGGACCCAGAGAGAGAGACAGCAAGCACGCTCTCCAAGGCTTGAAAAGTCTTCTCTGGACTCTGCCTCCCCACTCCAGCCCACAGCTCCTGGCTCTACGCTGAGGGATGTGCACCCTCAGGTCAAGACGGAGCAGCTCTGCTAGTGCCTGGAAACCTCAAGGCCTCCCAGCCTGACAGGACCCGGTATGCTGCAGGGCACATTCACACTTCAGGCCTGCGGGAACCACGCTGGGGCCAGACCGTGCAAAAGCTGCTGAAAGCAGCCAGTGCAGCAGCATGGGAGGGGCCAAGACACAGCATGCTTGGGGTTCACCGCCAGCTCCAGACAAACTCAACACTGGAGACTGGGCGGGTAATACACGGCAGGGTCTCAAGCCAGCTGTGAGACAGGACTGGAGCTGTCTGGGGAACAGAGTTCACCAGGAGCTCCCAGAACCGGAAAGGATGGGTGTTTGGGGGACCATGGAGGGGAAGTGGCCCTCCAGCAGCCAGCAAGCTCATAGCAGTGATGGAAGCCAAGCCCCACAGTCCTGGCCCCCAGCTGCTGCAGCTGAGGGTGCAGGCGTCTCAGGAGGCGGCTGGCAGCTCTCTATGCACGTCAAGCAGGGGAAGTGGAGGGGCAGCTTTGAATGAGCCCTTGGCCAGGACACAGTGTTTGTCAGGCAGCAGTCACTGGTGAAGATGACAGCCCCAACCACATTCCCAGTGTGTGCAGGAGCATCCCTGATCTGGATATAGTCCCTGAGTCCCCCTCCATGGTCCTGGCTGCTTCCCCCTCGTGGGGGTGAGTACACACAGCATACCAGCACTCTGCACCATGCACTCTCAGCCCCTTGGGTCCCAAGTCTTCAGAGCCCTCCAGGCCTGTTTGTTCCCAGCCCACTGGTACATGCAGCCAGTGTGGCCAGAGCCACAGAGCCTGGGGACACAGGATGCAGGGCCCATGATGAGCCAGCCTCGCACCCCTGCAAAAGCAGATGTCGAAACAGCTGCTTAGGCCAGCACTGTGGGACATTCCTTGCGGGGAGCCTGCCACAATGAAAACCCACAGGAAAGAGAAGGGTTTTCCCACCATGATGGACCATTGTATGCTTCAGCTCCCAGGAGGTGCCAATACCAAGGGGCTGAGATGAATAACTTTGGCCTTTAGGCTCCCCGACATAGCCCGGAGCTGCCCCTGCCCAGAGCTACTAGCTGGGCTGGCAGGGCCCCCAGGAGGTCACATCCAGTCCAAGCTCCTGCTCAGGGCAGGGTCATCCCTGTCTAAGCCGTCCTAGGCAAGTGTTTATCTGACCTGCTCTTAACTGCACAGGCAGCCCTCACCCACAGCTCCCAGGCACAAAAGCACTCCAACCAGCCTCAGGTGAAGCAGGGGACAAGGGCCCTAGCAGTGTCCCACTGCTGCAGAGACCCAAAGGTGCTTGCTAGGATACACTGCAGAGGTGCCAGGGAAAAATCATAGAAATCCCAGAGCAGTGGGGCTGGAAGAGACCTCCAGAGCTCACATCAAATCCGACCCCCTGCCTGGGGCAGGATCAGCCCTGTCCAAACCATCCCAGACAAATCTAGAACCTAAGCATTTTGTAAAACTACGGTCAATCTTGACACAACACAAGACATCACACCCGAACCTGCAGCAGGGAAAGCATGGGGACTGAGGAAGCCAACATCCTTGCTGTAAAAGGTGGTCGACATACTTGCAGGTGGAGGCCACTCCCCGCCACTACAGAGGAAGACAAACCCTGCCACAGTCCACACCAGTCTGTCCAGGGGGTTAAATTCATTCCTGACCCCAAATACGGCATCGTTCTGAACCTGAGCAGAAGGCAAAAGCTCTCATGCCACAGGCTAGGAATGGCACCAGTCCGGGGCAGAAGCAAGTCTCAGTGGCTTTAGCAAAATGCTTGAACTTTACCAAACCACAAGCAGCAGCCACTAGTGCAGCCCTCTCTGAGATCTCTCCACCCAGCAAGAGGCCGAGGTGGGGAGGGCGTCTCAGCGTGTGACCTGCTGCTTGCAGGGAGAGGAACATGAGGCCATGCTTCCTGCCAGACACCCTGGAGCCAGACTGGGGCCTCAGTTGAGCTCAGCCTGCGGCGTTCCCCATCACTGACACCCCAGGAAAGCCCGGCTTCCTCCAGAACA